TGCGCAGGGAGCGGTCGGCCTGCCGGATGGTGGCGCGGGGCGGGGCAGGCGGGGAGGGGTCTGACTCAGTTTCCCCTCTGGGTGGAGGGGGGCCCTTGACTCAGCATCCTCCCTGGGTGGGGGAGCAGAGGGAGCCTTGACTCAGTTTCCCTCCACACCGTCCATGGGGGCAGCTCTGGCTTCGTTTCCCTATTAGGGGAGAACGCATCTGATTCAGTTTCCTCTCTGGATGGAGGTGGGGCGTGCCCTCCCTCAGTTTTCCTTATGAAAGTACAACAGGCCCTGATTCGGCTTCCCTCGGGAGAAGGATTCCTTACCCCGTTTTCCCTGAAGAAGCAGGTGTTTCTGGTTCCTTGCCTCTACTCCTTAGTTTCACCGCAGGTTCTAGGAAGCAGGTCCTCACTCAGTTCCCCTGGGAGGGAGCCTGGCTGCTCTTCTCTGTGGAGAGCAGATACTCCCTTGTGAGGATGGGCAGTGGGTGTGTGCTGACCCTGATCTCCCTCCCCTTTCAGAACTGTTCCCCCTCATCTTCCCGGCAGGTAAGTGGCCCCCGCAGCGGTCGGGGAGGTGTTCCCTGGGGTAGGGCAGCGGGGGCAGCTGTCTAATGGGCCTGCGGTGTCCCCTGGCAGAGCCAGCCCAGGCCTCTGGCCCCTATGTGGAGATCATTGAGCAGCCCAAGCAGCGGGGCATGCGCTTCCGCTACAAGTGCGAGGGGCGCTCCGCGGGCAGCATCCCAGGCGAGAGGAGCACAGATACCACCAAGACCCACCCCACCATCAAGGTCAGCACTGCACCAGGGTGTGCGGGGAAGGGACTGTGGAACCCCAGCCCTCTGTGTTTGGGAGTCAGGTTTGGATGTCTGGGCCTCTGTACTTTGGACAGATCAATGGCTACACAGGACCAGGGACAGTACGCATCTCCCTAGTCACCAAGGACCCTCCTCACCGGCCTCACCCCCACGAGCTTGTAGGAAAGGACTGCCGGGATGGCTTCTATGAGGCTGAGCTCTGCCCAGACCGCTGCATCCACAGGTGAGCTCCCTGCAGGCTAGGAGGCCCAGCATGAGGGGACAGGAGGCGGGCTATGAAGTAGCCACTACAGTGTTACTCCTTTCTGGACACAGGGCAGAGTTGCTTACTTCTTGCTCTGACTCAGCTCTGCAAGTAAACTCCCTTTATCTTGAAATGATCTATTTGTACCTCTACTCTAGCACAGATAAGAGCTCCAAGGGATATGGATGGGTCCCTAATCACTTCTGAATCCCTGACCCCTGTAGCTGGAAGGACAGGTCCCTTGGAGTCATGTCTCTTGTTTGAGAAAGAAAACCACTGAACCAACACTCTCCCCTGGAGGTGACATTGCAGTTGACAGAGACAGGCCTTAAAAAAATATACAGGCCAGGCATAGTGGCTCATGCTTATAATTCTAGCACTTCCGGAGGCCAAGGCAGGAAGATCTCTTGAGCCTGGGAGTTCAAGACTAACCAAGGCAACATAGTGAGACCCCATCTCTACAAAAAAATAAGAAATTAGCTGGGTATGGTGACTTGTGCCTATAGTCCCAGCTACTTGGGAGGCTGATGTGGGAGGATCACCTGAGCCCAGGAGGTCACCGCTACGGCAAGCTATGATTGCACCACGACACTTGGGTAGCAGAGCGACACCTTGTCGTTTTTTTGTTTTTGTTTTTGTTTTTTTTGAGACGGAGTCTTGCTCTGTCCCCAGGCTGGAGTGCAGTGGCACAATCTCAGCTCACTGCAACCTCTATCTGCCGGGTTTAGACCATTCTCCTGCCTCAGCTTCCCGAGTGGCTGGGACTACAGGTGCCCGCCACCACGCCCAGCAAATTTTTTTGCGTTTTTTTTTTAGTAGAGAAGGGGTTTCACCATGTTAGTCAGGATGTTCTCAATCTCCTGACCTCATGATCTGCCTGTCTCAGCCTCCCAAAGTGCTGGGATTACAGGTGTGAGCCACCGCACCCGGCCCAACACCCTGTCTCTTAAAAATAAATAAATACACAGATAAATAAACAAGGTGCTGTCAGAGTAACAATTTCAGTCCTGAAAATAAAACAAAGTCATAGGCTAGAAGGATAACCTGGGGTGGGGGAGTTACGGGAGCTGGTGTGATGACTTTAGATTGGGAGGTCAGGGAAGGCCTCCCTCAGCTAAGACTTGAATGGTGAGAAGGAGGAGAGAAGTAGGAAAAGAACATTCCAAGCCGACCAAACAAGTGCAGAGGCCTTGAGGTGGGAATGAGTGTCCTGTGTTTAGAGAATGGAAAAGAAGCCCCTGTGGTTGTAAGCAGGGAGCCCGCAGGGAGGCTGGCGGAGGCGGGGGCACGGAAGTGCTTGTCAGCTGAGGGAAGGGACAGGGTTCATTGCAGCACAGTAGGAAGCCACTGGAGGGGGTTAAGCATGGAGCGATGGTCTGGGGGTGGGTGGAGGAGGAAGGAGCAGGCTGGGCAAGGCAGGAAGGTCCGGGCTGTGTGAGAGACAGCAGGACAGACGGCTGGGGGTGCTCAGTTTCCAGAACCTGGGAATCCAGTGTGTGAAGAAGCGGGACCTGGAGCAGGCTATCACTCAGCGCATCCAGACGAACAACAATCCCTTCCAAGGTGAGGGCTACCCTGCCTGCCGCCCCCGCACCCTCTGCCACCCTCCCTGGCCCGCCTTTCCTGCATCTCCCTCATTGGCCAGTACACGGTAAAGATGGACTCTTGGTGCCCATTCAGTACTCTCCCACTTTGCCATTGGGAAACTGAGGCCCAGGAGGGGACATGACATTCAGGTCACAGTGGAGTCACTGCTGGGTTCTGCCTCCTCTAGGACTTGTGTTTTACACACTCGCCAGCGGCCCTCCCAGAGCAGAGCTCCCTGCCCCAACTGGTCACACCTATATCCCCACTTCCCCTGCTCTCCTGATCACCTGTTTTCTTGCCAGTTCCTATAGAAGAACAGCGTGGGGACTACGACCTGAATGCTGTGCGGCTCTGCTTCCAGGTGACAGTGCGGGATCCATCAGGCAGGCCCCTCCGCCTGCCGCCTGTCCTTTCTCATCCCATCTTTGACAACCGTGAGTAGCGAGGGAGACACAGGAAGGGGAGAGGGTGGGCCTGGATAGGAGGAAGGGGGTTGGGGTGAGTGTGGCCTGCAAGAGGTGCTCTGATTCATCAATCATCTTGTGTATTCATCTTCTCTTCTGTGCCCAGCTCTTTGTTGGCTGAGGAGAGAAGGCAAAGAAGACCCAGAGCTGTCCTTGAGGTGTAGCTCCGGCCTGGCAGGGAGTCTAGCAGGGAGTCTGATGGGAAATGGGCATTTTCAGTATCGTGTGATGAGAAGGTGGTGTGCCCACAACTGCGATAATGACTCTAGGAAACGAACTCCCAGGAACAAGATAGTGTTCGAGAATGATGCTTCAGTGACAGAAGCCCGCAGATGAATTGGGCTGACTGATCAGCTGCAGTCTTTAATTAAGTAACCAGCAGGATGAATGGAAATAAAACGACTCTGGAACCCCAAAGATGGGAAACCAGGATAAACTGGGGGTCAGGAGGGAAGGGCTCATTGCCAAGGTGGATATGGACTGACCTTAAAGATTGCTTTGGTCAGGTGGAGAAACAGTGTGATCAGATTGGCGCTCACTGGACTATAAGCTCCGTGAGAGCAGAGGTTTAGGTTTTGTATGCGGTTGTATTCTCCTTGCTTAGATCAGTGTTGAGCGCCCAGTAGGCAAATACTTGCTGAATTGGTTGGGGTGAGGAGCTAATAAGAAGGTCTGACTGTGGCTGCAAAGGTGTAGGTGGCAAGCTCTGGGCAACCTTGACTTGGGGCTAGGCAGGGAAGTTGCATCTCCTGCAGGCCACCCCGGGGACCTCTGGTGGCTCAGGTCATCCTTCCTTGTTCTCACTGCCTCAGGTGCCCCCAACACTGCCGAACTCAAGATCTGCCGAGTGAACCGAAACTCTGGCAGCTGCCTCGGTGGGGATGAGATCTTCCTACTGTGTGACAAGGTGCAGAAAGGTATACATCAGGAGGCAGGGGTGGGCTCTTGGGAGCAAGGGGTGAAGCTGAGCAGAGACGGGGCGTGGCAGGCAACTGGCTTTGGATACTTCCTCCTATGCCTCAGGGGCCTCAGGTGGGCCAAAGGGTGATATTAGAAGACAAGCATCCGAAGTTGAGGGGGAGACCGTGGAGGGTTAGACACACTGACCCACACTGCCACCCCATCTCCTGCAGAGGACATTGAGGTGTATTTCACGGGACCAGGCTGGGAGGCCCGAGGCTCCTTTTCACAAGCTGATGTGCACCGACAAGTGGCCATTGTGTTCCGGACCCCTCCCTACGCAGACCCCAGCCTGCAGGCTCCCGTGCGTGTCTCCATGCAGCTGCGGCGGCCTTCCGACCGGGAGCTCAGTGAGCCCATGGAATTCCAGTACCTGCCAGATACAGGTACACAGCTGGGATGGCAGCATCAGGGCAGCTGGGCTCTGCCATGAGAGAGAGGCCAAGACTGCATGTCTGGGGCTGTAGTTGAGGGCCAGAAGCTGGAGTCAGAGCTTGGGATTTATATGGTAATTGGAATCCATTTCTTGCCACATTTAGTGATAAGGATACCTCAGACGTTGAGCTAGTACTACACATCTGCCCTATTCCAGGCATTTCACTGGATTACCTGATTCTAATCTCATGACCCTTTTGAAGTAGGAGATAGTGTCTGACTTGCTTGGGTTCACGTGGCTAGTAAGTAGCAGAGTCAGCATTGGAACCCAGGCCATCTGGCTTCAAGGTCCTTTTGCCACACTGGTTGTCTTGTCACTACCATAGAGCTCAGCCACATTTTGGTCAAGGTTTGAATGTCTACTTGGTACCAGGGCCTGTGCCAGGTATTGTGAATACAAAAAATGAGTAAGACATGCTCCCTGCCCTCAGAATCTCAGTCACTTGAGGAAGACAAATGTGCAAAACAGATCCTTAAGTCACAGAATGACATGTGAAACAGAGGTGTGTGCAGAGCAGCACAGGGGCACGGTGGCCTCCGAGGAGCTGGAGACAGCTGCATGGAGAAGGTGGCGTTGAAGCTGGAGAAAGACACGGAAGTGTGTTCTCTAGGCAGGTGGCCAAGCACCTGGAAGGGAAGGGGTGTTGGCAACTGCACGGCCTGTTCGGGGGCATCTTCGTGGTTTGAGCCGATGTTGGGCAGTGAGCAGGCTCAGAGAGAGGAGGGTGTGGTTCAGCTGAACGCCTCTAAGCAGAGAAGTGACAGGAGCAGATTTCGAAGTTGACTCAGGAGGCCACATGTAGAAGATCAGAGACGAACAGACTCAAAGCGGGGAGGCCACTCTGGAAGATGTTGCTGTAGTCCAGGGAAAGAAGATGCGGCACAAACCTCGTAGAAGGAATAGCGAAGCCAGATCACATCTCCGCCACTGTCCTCAGTTACCCTTCAGCCCTGCAGCCGTTTTGCATCTTATAGACCAAGCGCAGTCTCACCTCAGGACCTGTGTCTAGCTATTGCCTCTGCTTGGAATGCCTGGCCCAAGGTTTTAATGCAGGTGGCTTATGCCAGTCCTTCTCTGACCTCTGAATTAGTCCTTCCCTCTAAATTTAGACTGCCCCGACCTCACTTCCGGTATTGTTCCATCACCGTATCTTCCCTGAACCACTGTCACTTGAGATTTTCTGGTTTGTATATATGGTTGTGTCCCTCTCACTTTTTCACTAGGATGCCAACTTTTTGGGAGCAGACACCTTGTGTGCTTATGGCCACATCCCCAGTGTCTAGAAGGGAGGCTGGCACATAGTAGGTGCTTGATAAATATGTGTCAAGTTAGTGGTGGCGAGTGAGAGAAAAGAAGGTAATCATTCCAAGGTTTCTAGCTTGGGTGACAGGGTAGATGGCAGATGGATGGTCAGGAAATACAAGAGAAAGAACCCAGTTTTTGAGGGATGATGAGGTTGTCTTTGAATTAATGGAATTCAGGTGCTTTGGAGCTACTGAAGTACCATTGTAATTAGAAAGACAGTTCTGAAAGCTCCAACTAAAATACGAAACCATTACAGATAAGAATAAGAGTCTGCTGAAGTCTTAAGGCAGTTGTGCCCCAGCTGCCCCAGAGTGGCAAGAAATTCTCACCACCCTGGGTGGAGGCTGACAGTGAGCCAGGACGTGAGCAGTGCAGGAAGGCATGAGCTGGAGGCTGGGGACCCCCAGGGCTCCTCTTTCCCCAGAGCACAGCCCCTGTACTCGGCCTCGCCATGTGGCCGTAGAGGGGCAGATTCAGCCAACAGAGGCCTCCAAAAGCTGTGGGATTCTCAGAACTGCTGGATGTCACACATCCCTTCTCACTGGCAGAGGAGGTTGGGAGAACGGGTCTTGGGAAAGCCTGGCTCCTCGGTTTCCTCCTGAGGGTCCTTTGAGAGCGTTGGGGGCCCACCTGAGGAGAGCAAGTCCCACTTCTCCCCCTTACGTTCCCAGACGATCGTCACCGGATCGAGGAGAAACGCAAAAGGACATATGAGACCTTCAAGAGCATCATGAAGAAGAGTCCTTTCAGCGGTGAGATGGGGACCGGGAAGGACAGAGAGAAAGGCAGCGGGCAGGGAGGGGACACCCTGGGGCTGAGAACTGACCCAGCCCTTGCCCTACAGGACCCACTGACCCCCGGCCTCCACCTCGGCGCATTGCTGTGCCTTCCCGCAACTCAGCTGTTCCCAAGCCAGGTAAGGATTTCCTTTTGTCCTACTGGAACGACAGGCTCAGCTCTGTTCAGCTGAGGAGCAGTGGAGATGCAGACTCTTGGGCCCCGTTACAGACCTACTGAATCAGAGGCTTTGAAAGGATGGCGCAGGAACCAGCGACTTCTGGGACGCTAATGCACGCTGAAGCCTGGGAACCACTGTGCCAGTTAAATCCTGTACTGGGTATCTTGGGATTCAGAAGTTAAAAATGCAGAATCGGCCGGGCACGGTGGCTCAGGCCTGTAATCCCAGCACTTTGGGAGGCCGAGACGGGCAGATGACGAGGTCAGGAGATCGAGACCATCCTGGCTAACACGGTGAAACGCTGTCTCTATTAAAAATACAAAACATTAGCTGGGCGAGGTGGCGGGCGCCTGTAGTCCCAGCTACTCGGGAGGCTGAGGCAGGAGAATGGCATGAACCTGGGAGGCGGAGCTTGCAGTGAGCTGAGATCCGGCCACTGCACTCCCGCCTGGGCGACACAGCGAGACTCTGTCTCAGAAAAAAAAAAAATGCAGAATCTCTACTTTCATCTCTCACTTGAATTAGGGGGAACAAAAATCACTTCTGAATTAGCAAGACGTATGTGCCGGTGCGAGGCTCAAAAACTGACAAGCTGTCCACTTGAGGCCGCTGCCCACTTGGTGCTCCATGGGCTCACTGCCTCTCAGGACTTAGTTTTTCAGCTGTAAACCGAGGAGTCCAGCTTGTCTCTCAAAGTGTCCCTTCCTTTAAAAGGCTGGGAGAGTTTTGTGGGCTTGAGTAGTCAGGGAGGACTCCAACGTGGAGGTGTGGCTAGAACTGGACCCTACAGGCTGGGTCAGATGGGGTAAGAGGAAGGAGATAGGGTGTTGGCAGTGACTTCCTAGAGAGGGATTGAGCCTAGGCGCCATCAAGAGGGGCTGGGGTAAGAGGACGGGGTGGATCTCTAGGGCTTTCTCTGACCCCTGCCTCTCTGTCTCTCTCTTCCAGCACCCCAGCCCTATCCCTTTACGTCATCCCTGAGCACCATCAACTATGATGAGTTTCCCACCATGGTGTTTCCTTCTGGGCAGATAAGCCAGGCCTCAGCCTTGGCCTCGGCCCCTCCCCAAGTCCTGCCCCAGGCTCCAGCCCCTGCCCCTGCTTCAGCCATGGTGTCAGCTCTGGCCCAGGCCCCAGTCCCTGTCCCAGTCCTAGCCCCAGGCCCTCCTCAGGCTGTGGCCCCACCTGCCCCCAAGCCCACCCAGGCTGGGGAAGGAACGCTGTCAGAGGCCTTGCTGCAGCTGCAGTTTGATGATGAAGACCTGGGGGCCTTGCTTGGCAACAGCACAGACCCAACCGTGTTCACAGACCTGGCATCAGTCGACAACTCCGAGTTTCAGCAGCTGCTGAACCAGGGCGTACCTGTGGCCCCCCACACAACTGAGCCCATGCTGATGGAGTACCCTGAGGCTATAACTCGCCTAGTGACAGGGGCCCAGAGGCCCCCTGACCCAGCTCCTGCTCCACTGGGGGCCCCGGGGCTCCCCAACGGCCTCCTTTCAGGAGATGAAGACTTCTCCTCCATTGCGGACATGGACTTCTCAGCCCTGCTGAGTCAGATCAGCTCCTAAGGGGTGATGCCTACCCTCCCCAGAGCACTGGGTTGCAGGGGATTGAAGCCCTCCCAGAGCACTTACGGATTCTGGTGGGGTGTGTTCCAGCTGCCCCCAGCTTTGGTGATGTCTTCCTTGGAGGGGGAAGGCATATTTTATTCTTTTATTGGCAATACCTGTATCTATCTCTCTTTTTGGAGGTGCTTAAGCAGAAGCATTAACTTCTCTGGAAAGGGGGAAGCTGGGGAAACTCAAACTCTTCCCCTATCCTGATGGTCAGCTCCCTTCTCTGTAGGGAACTATGGGGGCCCCCGTCCCCATCCTGCAGCTTCTAGTACTCTCCTAGAGAGAGAAGCAGGCTAGAGGTAAGGCCTTTGAGCCCACACAGCCTTATTATCAAGTGTCTTCCATCATGGATTCATTACACCTTAAAATAACGCCCCAGGTACCAGCCCCTCTATGGCATTGGCATTGTCGCTGTGCCTAACACCAGCATTTGAGGGGCTGGCCTTCGTGCCCTACAGAGGTCTCTGCCGGCTCTTTCCTTGCTCAGCTGTGGCTGAAGGAAACCAGTGGAACAACGCTGGCGCTCTCAAGGATCCAGAGGGGGTTTGGTTTGGGACTTCCCTGCTCTCCCTCTTCTCAAGTGCCTTAATTGAGGGCAAGTTGTTAGAGAGAGTCGGGAGGAGCAGGCTGGCAGCTCTCCAGTCAGGAGGCATAGTTTTCACCGAAGAATCAAAGCACTTGGACTCTTGCTCTTTCTACTCTGAATTAATAAATCTGTTGCCAAGCTGGCTAGAGATTCACTTTTTTTCAGCAGACACTGAGCACACACTTTGCTAGTCACATCAGGCCGGACATTGGTGGTAGAGAGCTGGGTGAATGCGTGCACTGTCCTCTGAGAGCCTGCAGTCTGAGAATGCCCTTGGAAACCCCGAGTTACTTTCTAGTGGATGAAAACGGGCAACTAAGGCAGGAGTCCTAACACACCGAGAGCCTAGTAGGGCCCACTGACTGTGGGGATTGAGCAATTTCAGGAGTCTTCCCAGAGGCCCCATTTGCTCCAGGTCTTAGATCAGCTGAGAGTGGATCTCGCAGAGGGACTAGCCAGCGTCAGAGGCAAGAGAAACGATGTTCGAAAGATTTGATGGGGCCAGGAAATTTGGACTTAATTCCTTGGGTGGCCCAGGGAGTGTGTGCTTCTCTTGGGGAATGTGTAGTGCCAGGTGAAGATCTACCCTGCCCCACCGATGCTTTGATACTCTGTTCTGGGAGGAACGGTGAAAGCTTCAATCCACAGCCTCAGGAAGCCAAAACAAAGGCCCAGCCGCAGCCCACAGGGCTACAGCTGGACGTACTTCCGCTTTGCCCCAGCGCAAGCTCAGAGCAAATAGCGCTGGCCGGCTTGGTCTCCTCGTTCTCGAGTGCGCAGGCGCACAAGGAGCCCTCAGCGACCGGAGGCCGAGTCCCGCATCTGGGGGAAATCCCCGCCAAAGCCGATGGCGTTTCCTCTGGGCTTCGCACTGTTGCGGGAGTACAACAGCAGGGGAAAAGGAGTTATCGTCAGCGGGACGCGTCCCAAAAGTCAGCGAATCTCCTAGGAACACAAAAGGCCCTGGGTGCAGGCTCCCATGGGCAGCGTCTGCGAGACTGCAGGCCGACTGCGTCGATGAAGTGGAGCTTGCCCCGGGGCTCTGGCTCGCTGGGGATGGCCAGGGGCGGGGCCTGGAGCGAGGGCGGGCCTCGGCGGAACTCCTACGCGAGGGGCGGAGCCCGGGCTCGCGGTGGCCGGGTCAGGACCCGGGCGAAGCTGCCGGGTAGTCTCTGGGAGGCGGGGCCGGGGAGGAAGCGGGCGGGGTGAGAAGGCTCCTAAGCTGAGGAATCCGACTGCTGAGCTGCGCAGGGACCCCGACCGGAGGTCCCCGACCCGAGGCCCAGAGGGAAACCAGGGAGCCCAGGCCATGCAGCCCATGCTGCGCCTCCCTCGCCTTGGCTTTCTCGGTCCCGCTTCCTCCCGTTACCCACGGAAGACCTCTCCTGGTCCTTCTCTCATTCCTGAATGATCCCATCATGCTCATGGCTCACCAGCTCCAAGTCCTCATATCCAGCCCAGACCTCTCTCCTCTGCGCGCCAGCCCCTGGACATCTCCACTCTGACGTCCTCGGGCCTCTCAAACACCCTGTTCCAAATGACCTCAGCCATCCCCAGTCTGCCTCTCGTTTTCCCTGTGTCAGCCCTGGCCCTGCCACCTTCCAGGGGCTCCAGCCGGAAACCTGGCCACTACTGTAGATGCCACAACTCTTAGTAACTTGCATCCAGTCTTTCCACGAGGTCCTGGAAAATCTGCCCACTTCTCCCCACTGTCACTGCTATCACTGAGTTTAAGTCACCACTATACCTCCCACTGGACTGTGGCTACAGCCGCCTCCCTGCAGCCAAAGAGCTCTGACATCCAGATCTCACCTCATCAATCTTCCTTTGAACATCAACCACATGACCAGATCCTAGTTTTCTGCAGACACACCCTCAGTGACCAGAGCTTCCACACTAGTCCACAACCAGGAAGAACTGGCAGTCTTGGGAACTGCTAATCCACGATCCCTAGTGTACCTTCACAACCCTTTCTGATCCGGCTTCTTTGACCATGGGTTCCTGTGTGTGCCTTGGCTCTAGTCCAACAGGCCCCAGCCAGACTGGTCCTACCAGGATACCTCTGACGTCTCTGCCTGGTGAACTCCTACCCAGCCTTCAAAACTCAGCCCTCATTACCTCCTCCATGAAGCCTTCCTGATCCTCAGATGCTGTGTTTCTCAGAGCCTAGCTCATCCTGCCAGCACCTAAGTTAACAGACCCAGGGCCTACCTAGGTCTCACCATGGAGCTTCAGCCAGCCTAGGGAAGGGACTGGAATAGGCATGAGATGCTGGGCAAGTCTGCCCTGTCTGGGCCTCAGGTCCAGAAAACATAGGATTTAGACAAAGTCCAAGTTTGGACTTGATGATGCCACTTAGAGGACCATAGGCTGGTGAGGAGAGAAGCGGGTCAAGGGCCCATTTCCTCCAGGACATGGAAACAGCCCCAGTCAACTGAGGCGGAGATGCCACCACCTCTGGAATTGGGCCCTGCAAGAAGTGGCCAGGTGGGTGGAGAGAGGATGAGGCCTGGGGGCTCAGTGGCTTCAGAGAGAAGAATGAGGCCTGCACCGAGGTGCAGGGCCTTGTGATGCATGGCCAGGGTAGGTGTGGGCTGTGGCCACCTCCTTCCCTGCAGAACCAAATAAACGTTATGGGAGAGAAGCCAAGCAGTGGCCTGGCCGCAGGGACCCCTCAGCGAGTGCCAGCCCATCTCTGAGCCAGTGTTCCCAGGGCCTGTCCTGACTGCTGCGAGGAGTCTGGCTGGGGCCTCTGGAGGCAAAGCCCCTGGCCCTGCCCTGTCTTGGACACACATTCAGACGCAGACAGCAGTGGCTTCTTTACTCCCTGAAGTCCTCTTTTCTCACAGAATATTTACAAACAGGGAAGGGGTAGAGGCCACCAAATAAAGGGCTGGGGAGGGGGGCAGTGCTAAGACGCGCCTCTGCGCAGGGAGAGTTCCTGAGAAGGGCCCAGTGTGACCACGGTGCCCTCAGGGGCCCAGGTAGTCCCAGGTGGCTCAGGCCAGGTCAGGGGTGGGAGAGCCCAGCTGCTTGGAGGCCAGGAGCAGGCGTGTGGCTGCGCTCTCAGACTCTGCCTGCAGCCGTCGGTTGTTGTGTCTCAGGCTCCGCACCTCCTCCTCCAGGGCTGCCCTGTCCGCCTTCTCCTGGGGTGGCCGGGGAAGACAAGAGTCAGAGCCGCCAGCCCCTTTCCTGGGGCAGCCTTGTGACTCCCCCCAAGCCCAGCCCACCCCTCACCTTCTGCAGGTCCTCCTGCAGCTTCCTGAGCATGGACTCCAAGTGAGAGACCTTCTCTGAGAGGTTCCCAGGCTCTGGCCTGAGGACATGGGGGTCAAGACTCAGCAAGACCAAGGCAGGGCGCAGCGCACGAGCTGACTCTCAGCCCCACCTAATGAGAGGGGCCCCGCCAGTCTTCTATGCATATGTGGCAGCAGAGCCGGGACAGAGCTCCACCCCAGCGGACAGGCATGAAGTGGGGGGTCATGTGGGCAGGTAAAGCGGCTGTGGGGAGTTGGGGAGCTTACTCAGCATCAGACTTTGGAGTTCCCTTAGGGTCTCCGCTCTCTGGGATGGGCTGTCCTGTGGGGACAGAGGGATCAGGTGGGCAGTCAGAAAGGGGGCAAGAGCACTGCCCAGGCTTACTGCAGCACCCTGGTGGCCTCACCCTCTCGGGACAGCGACTCCAGAATGGTGTTGCAAGTGGAGGCGATCTCAGAGATGGCCTGCCACTCATCCTCCAGGGTCCCACTGCCTGCCTCCGACATGACTGTGGGCACAAGGAGCAGGCTGAGCTGGGGAAGCCCAGAAGCACCCCCCGACCCCTCCCCTGCTCTCCTGGGTCCAGACTTACTCCTGCTGATGGAGTTCCGCAGAGACAAGGTACGTGGCAGAAAGGAGGCCCTCAGCTCTGGAGCCGGGTTGCCCTTGTCCTCAGAGCCACTGGGACTGCCTGGCCCGTCCTGTGCGACAGATACCGATTCAGTGATGCCCACTGCCACCACTGTGCCGCTGGGCTCCAGAGCTTGGTTTCTGCTCACCTGGGTCAGGGGTGCCTCACTGTCAGCACTGGGTACTGATGGCTTGGCCGTGGTAGCCAGGAGGAGATCCGGGGTGGTGGTGGGCAGGACTGGGGCCTCATCTGACAGGGAGCTGGGGAGAGCAGGGGTGGCTCAGAAAGGGAAGCCGCTTTTCCAGAGGCCTGGAGGAGAGGGAAGGCCAAGAGTGTGCACCTGCGTGGTGACAACGAGTTCTGGCTGTGCAGGAACTCGGTCCTCTCCTCGGCCAGATCCCCAGGCACTGGAGGACTGCCACCATCTTGCAGGCACAGGTGCAGCAGCTGTTTTGTGGTGGGCAGCAGGGTCACCCCCTGGACCTCATCCTGCACAGGCTCTGGGGCCCCCCGCCGGCTGGGCTCCTGCAGAGACAGCATGTACAGCTCCGAAAAACTCCTGTGGAGGGGGACAGGGTCAGGCAGGACTTCCCCAGTCCCCAGCGTCCTGCATCACCAGCCCCACCCCCAGCCCAGCTCACTACCAGGAGCAGGAGAGCTCCCCAGCTTCCAGACAACAGTGAAAAATGTCTGCCTGGTTACTGGCCATTTTTCCAGACCATGGTTCAAATTCCAGTGCTGCCCCTGGATATCCCAAGCAAATCACTCTGAACATCAATTTCTCCATCTGTGAAATGGGGATAATAGTACCAACCTCACAGTGTGCTGTGAGGGTTTAAATAAGACGTTCAAATTGCTTAAATCCCAAAACTACTGTCTGTAGCCAAATCCAACCTGTGCCTTTTCCTTTTCTTTTCTAAAGCAGATGTGCCAGCTGCTGTACTGCAAGCTAAGCATGGATTTTACTTTTTTTTTGTTTTTTTTTTTTGAGATGGAGTTTTGCTCTTGTTGCCCAGGCTGGAGTGCAGTGGTGTGATCACAGCTCACTGCAACCTCCTCCACCTCCTGGGTTCAAGTGAGTCTCCTGCCTCAGCCTCCCGAGTAGCTGGGATTACAGGCGTCTGCCATCATGCCTGGCTAATTTTTGTATTTTTAGTAGAGACGGATTTCACCATGTTGGCCAGGCTGGTCTCGAACTCCTGACCTCAGGTGATCCACTTGCCTCAGCCTCCCGAAGTGCTGGGATTACAGGTGTGAGCCACCGCACCCAGTCCGGATTTTACATTTTTAACTAGTAGAAAAATCAAAATAATATTTCATGATAAGTGAAAATCATATAAAATCCAAATTTCAGTGTCTGTAAAGTTTTAGCGAGATACAGGCACATTTATTTATTCATTTACCTACAACGACAGAGTAGCTGCGGCAGAGACCAGATGGTCCAGAAAGCCTAAAATATTTATTATTTGGGCATTTGCAGAAAATGTTTGCCTACCCCTGGCTTAGCACAGGAAATTATCAATAGTGTGTAATGTGTGTGGTGGTGGCAGGGGGGCGGGTGTCAACACTTAAAAAAAAAAAAGAAAAAACAGATAGTCGGGGCTATTTGATCTTTTAAGCAGTGGGAGCAAGGCGCTTAACTGGTCCCATTCTCCATATGAAGAAAGAGGTTCAGGGCGTGGTGGCTCACGCCTTTAATCCCAGAACTTTGGGAGGGCCAGGCGGGTGGAGCACCTGAGGTCAGGAGTTCGAGACCAGCCTGACCAACATGGTGAAACCCCGTCTCTACTACAAGTACAAAAAATTAGCCGGCCGTGGTGGTGCGTGCCTGTAATCCCAGCTACAAGACAGGCTGAGGCAGGGGAATTGCTTGAATCCGGGAGGCGGAGATTGCAATAAGCCAAAATCACGCCATTGCACTCCAGCTTGGGCAACAAGAGTGAAACTTCGTCTCAAAAAAAAAAAAAATTAAGAGAGAGGAGAGAGAAGAGAGGAAGAGAGGGGAGAGAGAGAGAGAGAGAAGAAGAAAGGGGAAGAGAGAGAGAGAAGAAGGAAGGGGGGAGAGAGAGAGAGAGAAGAAGGAAGGGGAGAGAGAGAGAGAGAAGAAGGAAGGGGAGAGAGAGAGAGAGAAGAAGGAAGGGGAGAGAGAGAG